TAATGTAGCCTCTCTCCAAGCCGCTATTGAAGCGGCATTCATAAAAATGGACCGTGCGCAATTGCAGACGGCATGCTCGCGCTTTCGGAATAGGATTGAAGCGGTGATCGAGGCGCAGGGCGGATACATTGAGTAAAATGTTTTAGAAAAGATCCCTTAACCCAGCTATAAAGCAGTCTATTTATGTTTTTTCATATTTTCTGTAATAAACAACTTTTTCGAGAAAAAAATTTTTGTCCGGATTTAAGTGGCGGACCCTGTATATGCTAACCATAGAGAGAGCCGCGTGAGGAGCAACAGAGAAGCCTCTTGCACAATGGACGGAATAGCGATAGCGATAGAAATAACAAAAGTTTTAAAGAGTTTATATTTAAAAATAAAGGTAGGAACAGCGGAATCTAACATACAAAAATACACATGTATCAATGCAGATCAGAAAATCGGAATAAGCAATAGCGATAAAATTTTTGACGAGTTGGAATTTTGTGTTAAAAACTGTGTTATTTCTATTGCTATCGCTATTCCTTCCATTGTGCAAGGGGCTAGAGATAGATATATTTTGTCTCAACTGTGGCTCCCCTACTCCGTGTTCTCTGTTTCTCTTCTATAAGAAGTGCCCACAATTGAAACAGAAAAATATATCTCTCTTTGTCGATCCTCCTTGCGCTCCCATGGCCTCTCCGTGAGTATCATAGACGTATAATATATATAGACTGCGCGTTCCCTACCTTTGCCATGTTAAGAAAATGTCTTCAACGTCGAGAAAGACAGCTGGTGTTGAACAGTAGCCTCATCTTTGTCTAGCGAAGTAGTGGGGAAAAAAGAAGTCTTCGCTGATTGATAGAATAGTAGTGGAAAAGTGGGGATAGAAAAATAATGGGGGTAAAGAAGAGTGAAAGAAATTAAGGAGTGATGGTAGGTTAGGTGGTATGAAACAGTAGGCACTTATGGCCCCGTGCTCCTGAACTGTTTAGGCATCGGCCAGTAATGAAACAGTAGGCCCTGATCTCACCACAGACATTGATAGACAGAGAAAGAGTTACTATTCAAAGTATGTTGTTTCTCTCAACGTTGAAGACATCTTTTCAGCCAAACGCGCAGTCTATATATCATACGTCTATGGTGAGTATAAGTTCTATGAGAAGAAGAAGAAGAAGAAGAAGTAGAGTATGGTGAAGGAAATAAACAGTTTATACGAGCTTAGTGGTGTTGCATCAGCCATACCGGTTAGGCCTGGTTTATGCGGGCAATAACTGTTAACGTATACCGGAACCGGGAGAGTTTAACTATAGGATTTCAATACTTCCGTTTATACAAAATTGCCGAATGCGTATAAACAGAAGTATTGGAATCCTATAGTTAAACTCTACCGGTTCCGGCATAAGTTAACAGTTATTGCCCGCATAAACCAGGCCTTAGATGTGCGTAGTTACGCTTAGATATTTTTGGACAATTCTCGGTGTTTTTACACCGATTTTTTCGGTTTATCATTAATTTTAACGAACGTACAACTCCGTGGCTTGTACCCAAACCACGGTTTAGGACCTGTGTCACGATTCTTAGACCCGGTTTCACAATTCGTGGTTAACTCGAATTAACCGAAGTTCGACTTGCTGAGCTCGGTTTAACGCGTTCAATCTTCTTTGTCAAAACTTCGCTAACCAATCACAGTTCATGTTTAGGAAGAAAAGATGCGTTACGCCGAGTTCAGCAAGTTGGGCTTTCGTTAATTCGAGTTAACCGTCAATTGTGAAACCGGGCCTTAAAGACTTAGAATGGCGTATGGACTAGCTTGAAACGGTCCTTTGAGCCATATATGCACCAAACTAAACCAAACCAACCTCTATGAGAAGACCCTTAAGTTTATAGCTATTTCTACACTTACTGCAATATTCTTACCCTAAAGCTACTTCTTGATTGGTTTTCGAGCTTATGCTTAGGCTGGATCCTCATACAGACACCGGCGCTTTGACACCAGCGTTCAAGCGCTGTTTCAAATGTTGAGCAACAGCCAATGAGAGCTCTTCAATTGAGAATAAGTGAAGCGATAATTTATATCCTATTTTATAGATATATTTTTAAACTGTAAACTATTTTTATTATGTTTTTTTCTATTAAATGATATGCAAATCTATTTGATTTTACATCCTTTTCACAAAATTAAAAAAGTTGATCTTCGGCAGTTACAACACTTGTCTAGTGACATTCTGATGACAACAGTGCGCCCAAAAGTTCGACCGAGCTCAACTTTTTCG